TCCCCCTCCTGAAATACGTTCAACCTTCCGTGGTACTGGAAATTGGAAACGCGGCATTAGGCGTGCCAATTCAAAACGTTCCGGGCTAACTGATTAATTAATTTTCGTTACGCATTTATAATGGGTATTATTACGGGGCAATGGTTAAATTATTATTATTACAACAACGATTCGAGCTCGAGATTAACTCGTTTATAGTGAATCGAATGGTTTATCGAATGGTTTAAAAATATATATTTCACGATGTTTCAATCCATTCGAAATATTGGCGACTGTTAATTAAGAGTTGGAGCATGAGTTTAAAGTTATACGCATACGTGTACGTGTGTGTTTTCTCGCGAATGGGTTTGCGATAAATGTAAATGTCAAGCGTTCACAACGATCAATCGTTGCGTGTAACGTGGATATTTTTTGATTTAAAGATTTACGGAGCAGGTTGTTAGATAGATGAGGATAAATGCAGCACAGTAGAAAGGGTCGGTGTATGCTCAGCCACGTTGAATTTTTTTTTTTTTCTTTTTACTTTGAACATTAGAATAATCGATGACTAATGTGCATATATATTAGGTTGTGATATAGGAAATATATGCATTACACACGAAATATCTCTTATTGATTTTGTTGTGTTAATTTTCTCACAATTTTTTTTTTCTTCGTTATTATAAATATTTTTACGCGTGGAAATAGTTTTGACGTTGATTAGCCATTTTATCGAATCCGTTACTCGAAATCGTTCAATCGGAGAAATTGATTCAATAAAAATATGGTATGTTGTAATAGCATAGTTTTTTTTTTGCAGATTCAATTTTTTTTCGTTTGAATTCGCGAACGATGAAACGATAGAACATATTCGCGATTCTTTCGCGTGTTTTTTTTTTTCCATTTATTTCAATTCATATATTGAGCGCGTTAAATGGCATACGAAGTTTAGTTCGAATTCTATTGCATCAATCTCCAATAGAATCCAATCTATGTAAAAAAAAAAAAAAAGTTATTTGAGAATTCATAGAAATGGGAATTTACACTGAATCAATGTTATTATTCATTCTTGTCTGAATATTTTTATCTACTAATATTTTCTTGGCAATATGAATAGCTATTCATTTAGCTAATAATAGCTACGAAAAATAATGATTAAAGAAAATTAATAAACTTAAAATTAAAATTTGAGAAAAAATGAAATTAAAGAACAATTTTGATATCAAAAATAAGAAAAAATTATTTGATAAAATTCAAGAAGAACTATAAGAAGCAAACAATTTTAAGATAATTATTTATAAATCGTTGTTGTATTAAATTATAAATATCAAATATCGAACTCGTATATTCAATAAATACTTCATTTTAATTTTTTCCTTCATTTAATAATTTTGACTCGTTTTTTTTATGATTATTACATTTTTCTGTAAAACAATTATAAATCATACAAAAAAGAAAAATAGCAAAAAAAAAAAGGAAATATGTGGAAAGATGGTTCGTTTTCCGGTCAGGAAATTAATTTCGCGATATTGGAAACGTGCCTGCACGCTTTTATGTATATCATAATAATCACTTTCTTTTTCATAAATAGTAGAATTCTTACGATAATACAAAATTTAATAAATTATTATTTTAGATTATAAACTAATATACTAATGGATCCTCTAATTGTACCTATATAATAAAATTATTTCACTTAAAATCTCATCATTAAATTAAATAGACTATCTATATAATATATTCAATATCATAACGACAATCTGATTACATTAAATAATATAAATACAATAAAATTGTGCAAAATTAATAACAAAATAACACAATTAGTATTCAATTATTCTCATAATATTATTCTAATTTTACGTATTTATACGTATATCATTTTTCTACGTGGATTTATAACCTAGAACATCTAACTCGTTTCAGATAAAAATTAAATAGTTTTTACATAAAATGATGTAATTATCTTTTCCTAAATATATATCTAATTCCAAGTATTTTTTTTCTGAACAAGATAAATTCGTCGCGTCAATTCAAGTGGATATTATTTTTCAACAAAGTTACAAACTCTGATATTAAAACTCTTACTAAAAAATTGCCTCCTTTCAACGTAATTGCACGTACTTATGCATCGATGTTCGCGGCTACCGACAAAAAGCAATGCACGTATGCGTGTATGCTTGCGATCTATGGAGAGTATACCATCTACCAATTCACCGTTAACCATGGCCTTAAGGCTTCCGTGTTTCAATCCGAGCACCTGAGGGGGATGCGCATCTCGCGGCGAGATTAAGGCACGTACACATCGCGCGATCCCATAAGTGCACTTTCTCACCGAGGAGAGACGGTGGTTCCCTCCATGGGGAAATACGAAACAAATCAAGGATTTCGTTGAATCGTTACGCTTTATTCGCTTTTCTCTTCGTTCGTTCTCTATGCCTATGGAAGATTCATCAAGATGAATTTTCGATGTCGATGTCGAATAGAAATTGAAGCCTATCAATAGGTATTATTTATTAGGATTGTCGTGCAATATAGAATAAATGAGTAGTAAACATTGGATAATAATTTTTGAAGATTAGAAAGTTTTTTTGTTTATATTTGCCAATGAATTTTTTGAATGCTTTCTTAACGTGGAAAACTTTTGTAATCTCTTTTAATGTTTTTATTTTTCTGACTGACTGATCATATTCATCGAAACGAAAAAATAGTTATTACATCTTTACATCTTTGTTCAGAGTTTGAAAAGAGGAATATGAAAGATAATTTGACTAAAGTGTGAATAATTAGGTAAAACGTGTTATTGAAAGAATTTGAAATGATCGAGTTAAAGCCTTCTTTAAAACTATTACAAAGTATGAAAAATCCTTGGAATTATTGAACTATCTATCTATGACATTGACTCTGATTATCACTTAAAGACCTGTCTAATTTTATTATTAGCTGATTATCTAACCAATTAAAACATTTATGTTTTGTGAAAAACAACTTTTAAAAAAATTTATGAAAATATATTCAAGGAAAGAGATATATATATATATATATATATATATATATATATATATACAAAGAATTTTCGTAACAAAATTAATTTTAACATTGACGATATTATTATTAATATTAAATTATATTATATTATTAAAAATATATCATATTGTTTTAATAATTTTTAACAGTGTGACACGAAGCTTTCGTCCAAAATATTTATTATAAATAATTTTAAAGATATTCGAATGAATCGATTTAAATGAAGACCTTGAACATAAGTATGCATACACTATCGCTCGATACTTTCAAGTCATTTTTCTTATATACGATAAAAGTATGAAATAAGAAAATTACTACTTTGCTCTACTCGTAGCTTTTTTGTTTTTTATAAATTTTTTTTTTTTAATTTTATTCTCACGTTATTCGTAATGTTTCGTTGCTCTTTTTCATTTATACAATTAAAGTTTTTATTTTATAGCGTAACGAACGTGATAATATTATTATATAATAATAATATTATTAAGTAGAAAACGCGAAATCAAAAAAGGAAAAATATTGGCCGGCTCGAATCTTCGACTCCACACTTAACGAGAGTGGTTTTTGTCGAGTACACTCGGTAAGGTTTCATATAAAATACGAGCGATCATAGGCGTCGTATCGTGGCGGCTATAAATTCGTTTCTCCGCCACGATTTATTGCTCTTTCAGTTCGTTCGAAAGCCGATCGAAAGCAATGAGACAGGATCGTTCCTTCGTTTCCGAAACGGAGAATTCATGAAGAAAGGGAGAGAAACTAACGAAAGTAAGAATCGAAAATTAAAGAGTTCTTAAATTTCCAAATTTTTTTTTTCAATTCTCAACACACGAAATCTTCAGATGTAGATAAAGATTTTGGAAATTCCAAGTTTTTCTTGTTTTATAATTTTTTAAATTTAGAGAAAATAAAAATAGGAGAAAATAAATCAAAAACAAAAGAAGAAAGAAAGAAGGAATATAAAAATTGAAAGAATAAATATTCTAGAAAGGAAGGTATGTAAGTATATATGTATAAAGTGAAAAAGATGGAGAGAGAAAATATGAAAAGAAATGAAAAGGAAAAAGATGGTAATATTGCAAAAAGAAAATAGAAGGTGAGTACGAAGAGATTACATCAGAGATGAAATCACATGTTGGTCCAGAAATAAAAAAATGAAAGATAAAAATGTAATGGAAAGAATATAATGTAATATGGGACAAAGTTATTGAAAAATGAAAAAATAAAAATTTGGAAATCATTCTTCAGGAAAAAAATAACGTAATAGTAAGTAAAAAGAGATAAATAAAATAATATTATATTAAAGAAATATAATATTTAATAGAAATTGAGAAAAAGATATAAAAGAAAGAGAAGAGAAGAAGAAGTCAAGAAGTTAAAAGTAACACAGGAAGAAATAAGAAAAGAAAAGAGAAAAGAAGTTAAAGGAGCGATTGAAAATAATCGATATCAATAATGTGCACAGACTCGATGAGGAAGAAGAATTGTATTTATAATGGCAATAACTTTCTCGCAGGAAACGATGCATCGAAGGAGATCTTGCACGAATTGTACTTGGAGATAAAGAAAAGTTTATAGTATATAATTACGTTTCTTAAAATATAGATAGTATAGAAAGTTCTTTGAAAGTATTTCTTCCGTTTAATAGACGTACGTGATATAGTATATTTGATCGGATAAGTCTTTGAATCTTCGAAAGCAAAAATTATAAAATCGTCGAATTTTCAATCTCGAATTTTTTAAATTAAAGAATTTCTAAATTCCAAATTTTAGATTTTCACATTTTAAAATTAAAAACTTAACTTAATCTTTTAAATTCTTGAAAAAATATTCAAACATACAAATTTCTAAATTTTTCAATTTTCAGTTGATTCAAAAATTTCCAAATTTTCAAATACTTAAATCTTCAAATTCTTTCAAGATTTCAAAGATAAAAAATTTAGAAAAATTTTCGAAAGTGGTAAAAAACGATTTGAACTCCATTACTTCGTCATACTCACTTTGCAACCCTCGCAACTGGTTACACCGTAATGATAACCGCTCGCTTTGTCACCGCAAACTCTACAGGCCACGAAACTCTTCGCGGGCGTCGAACTGTTCGAATCGGCAGCCGCGTAGTGTTGTTCTGGAAAACAAAACAGTTGCATTATGTAACACGATCGTCATTCGTGGAACTAGGTAAACGTTGCACATATCTTTATCTCTTCGTAGAGACGAGAATATTCCTTCGAATAACTTTTGATCGTAACTATAAACGTTACTTAAAATAATCGAGTTTAATATATCGTGCAGTTATAAAATCTTTAAAATATTCTTATCAGAAAATTTCATTGCTGATTTTACGTTAAAAGAAAAATAATTATGCGATCATATTATTTATATTGTCTCGATCAACTCACGATCAACTCGATCAACTTTCTTTATACCTTATATATCATTCAATTACTTCTGATAAAATATTACCAATTTTTCCACCAACATGTAATGTAACTTTTAATATTTCTCAAACCTCTCAAGAATTCTAACTTTCTTCAACTATGCACAGAATAGATTATACTTCGCCTAGATTATGAACACTAATTTATCATGCAATACTATAACTTAAATATAAGTGCAATTAGAGAACCGTTGATTACCTGTTATTACCAGATAATTTTACCTGGAGACCACCAACATTAATTATACAGACCAACGATAATCAATCGAACAAGAAGCAATAAATCTTGTCGCGTTAACATCATATCTTATATCATTGCAATAATTATTTCGTAGAAATCCGGCAAAAATTATATCACCTCTCTCGTTTCGCAATTTTATCTCATCCGTCTCGCATAATCGAATACAGAAAACCAAAAAAAAAAAAAGAGGAAAAGAAGCAATTTTACATCCTCCAATCATCGGTTCGCCACGTTCTCCAACGAATCACGTCCAATCGGTCGTAAACACGCTTCTCAATTTCGTGTTTCCGCGCGATTATCTTCGATTCGAGCGAAATGGACGGGATCACGGATCTGGTCGGTGCCTTCCTTCTTTCTAACAATCAAAAAACGAGCACGAAGCGCGTGGACGTAACGGCACCGCCTCTCGATGGAAACGGTCACGCGTACTCAGGATGGGAGAAAGGACGAGGAAAAAAGGACCAGAGTGTCGGCCTTTAGCCAAATAGAGACGAGTTGAAACGGAGATGACGAACAAGATGGAAACAAGGAGAAACGGAACCGTGCAAAGCGACGACGAATCGGGATAGTTGACACATTACGGTTTTCGAACGAATTAACTCTCTGTGTTGTGACAGATGACGATGAAGGAATAATTGGAATAGATAATAATAATATTTGTATCATTCTTACGTTATTTTATCGTCTAATATCGTCTATATCCGATTAATTTCATTTGGGATTTGTATATTGAATATTATTTGGATTTCTTTTGAATCAGATATTTCATAAATGCAAGAAAAATGTTAAGGAATCCTTTCATGGATCTAAAATTTCTAGAATCTCTCGAGGATTCATTGTTTTTACTCGTAAAATTTACTTATTTACTTCAAAATACATCTACTGTAGAGAATCTCACCTTATGCGATATCACCAATTACAAGATATAAAAACCAAGAGATACGAAAAAAGCAGAGCAACGAAAAAAAAAAAAAGAATGGAAAGAACAGGAGAAGAAGGAACGACGTCTCCCGTCGACGTCGCGACGAGAGGATACACGTCGTCGGTCCACCATGGCGGATTTCTTCCATTCGTCCGACCCATTGCATCCATAATGCAACGACGGCCGCCACCACAGGAAGGGAAAAGGCTTGCTCCTGCTGGCTGTGCACGCGGTGGTTCGTATAACGGAAAGGCTGCGTCACCGTTACACACGGGGAACACACACCACGGCCGTGGAAAAGAGCAGGCAGGCGAGGAAGGAGGGAAGAGGAGGAGAGGCGCGCGGGGAGGAGACGAGAGAAGAAAAAGGAAGAGGAAAAAGGCGAAACGGGGCCGTCCGCAAAGGGAGTGCACAGGGAACCGTATAGGAGTAGTCCGGAACATTATAGTGTATACCGTTCGAGTCTCGTGAAATCCTGCCAGAAGATGTCGTTACGCGGGGGTCAGGGGGTTGGAGAGAGATGGAAAAGTTGATGGAAGAAATATGGCGGCGAGGAGAGGATAGGCAAGCAGCAAAAGAGAGGAGGAAGAGCGAGGGGGCTGAGGGGGATGGATGGAAGCGTGCAGGTTGATCGCAGTGTCTGGAAACGGGGCCCGATCTGTGTATGCGATTTTATGACGGCCGTTAAAGGCTGTCGTCGAGGTTAGGTTAGGTTTGGATATCGATGCCGGCTGCGAGTAGTTTTACGAGATTTTGTTTATTTCGATTTTACGAATGTTTGAATGTATGTTTGACAAGCTGTAGGTAATTGATCGTTTCAAGTTTCCTTTTTTTGGAAACTGTTCATACATGTATTTCAATATTGAAAGAAATTTGTTATCACTGTTGGAGAAAAGTTTTGTAAATAGTTGGGAGAGGATATTCCTGGGTTTGAAAGTATTTGAATGAATCATTGATATTAGTATAGACTCTTTCTCCTCGATAAGATCTTATTAAGCTTGGAAATAAGCGTGAAATAAGATGATTTTCAAAAGATCTGCTGTAAAATTAGATTGTACAGAAATGTACAATCTAAAATATATTTAATGAAACTTCCAATAAAAAAAAGTGTCTAAATAGAATTAAATTAGAATCCAAACTTGATTTTCTCGTGAAAATAATTCAGTTAAAAATGACTCACGTTTTTTTTATTACGGTAAATGATGATTATAAATGATATTCTCGATCGAAAATAATACGATCAAACAACTCGAGTTATTTTAAACATCTCCAAATTGAATTTTGAAATTTACAAATTAAATTTGGTTAAAACGACGAGAATACTCTTAATATTATTTATTTTCTAGATTTATTTTCACTTGCTATCGAACAGAAACACCGTCGAGTTAATGAAACCAATTTATGTAGTTGAAAGGCCGAACAATCAGCCAACTCTGGTAATCAGGGATTTATTCTTAAACGGTGAAACGTACGCGCAAGGTTCGCATGTTCGCACACCGATACATTGTAATTTATCGTGGTCCCGGACGGTCTGTAATTTCCAGGGACGAAGGCGGAAGTGAACGCGTAATGATGTACACAGCAACTGCTCCATGGTTGAGCCGAAGTTTTTCGGTGTTTCTTCATGGGAATTCGTTAAGGTGTACCGTATTAAACGACGCCTTAAACGGTGGTGCACGAATAAATTTTCCCGCGTTCCAAACTTTTTCTCCCCGACACTGGTTTCCGTCTTGGAACACAACTGAGAGTTCCATGTATGCAAATTAGACAGAAAATGATATCAACGTTCTCTTCCATCCTTATTACTATTGTATTCGTACTTTTATCGATTTTTGTCTCTCTCTCTCTCTCTCTCTCTCTCTCTCTCTCCCTCCCTCCTTCCCCCCTCTCTCTCCCTCCCTCCCTCCGCCCGTTATTATACTCTCTGTTTTAGGAATCAAATAAGTGTGTATATTACTTAATATATTCAGTAATCAAATATTCATTATATTCAAAATATCCAAAATAAAGTATTTCAAAATAAATTATCCAAATACGAGGTAATCCAAATATTATTAAAAATAGATAAAATATTAATTATCCGAAATATCCAAAATAAATCTATTCGTTACAAAATTCGAAATATTAAACTCTCTAATATATCTTGTTTCTTCATTTCTCTAAAAAAAAAAAAAAAAAAAAAAAAAAAANAAAAAAAAAAAAAGATACGTTCGCAATATAATATTAAGCATTTTGGCCGATAATTTTTCGCGGATCGCCATCTTGCCCCTCGAGATTTTCACTTCGATGTACCAAGTGAAATATCCTCGGCTGTTCCCTGCCACGTACATTGCGTCCATCAATACGAGGTATACTCCCGCGAGGAGAAAGTTGGTTCGACCGAGCGGAATTTATAAGTAGAAATAGAAATTGTGCCTCTGTTCTTGTGGAATATCACCGTGGCCCTGTTCGTAAGTGAAATGTTAAGCGCTCTATGATTACGGACAGAATATACGGCCAACTATAAAAGATTTACGCCCGCGATACTCGGTTCAAACTATTCGGTATCTCTCTCGGCGTAGCGAGAAAGTCGAGGCGAAAACGCGAGAAGCGTGGATAAGAAGTTGCATAGATAGATGTATATCGATTGTAACCGCTTCGAGGAAGAAACTTATCTTCGATATCTCTTTATTTAACGTGGGACGTTATATAATGGAAGAAACGTGTCTGCGTTTCATATTTTATGACATTTCGTTTAGGAGGAAGAGTTGAGTTTTTCGCGACGCGTAATAATGGGTTATCCATCGGATTGTCGGATTGCAATTGATATGAATATTTTCGCTGTATTATGCGTTTTTATTTTTATTTCTTTTGTATATATTCTTTATATGATGATATACATCCATTCGTGAGAGGATGAAACAATTAGATTTTAATTATCGAATATATCGATTGACCACAATTAAAATAACTTTCATACAGAGAAATATGATCGAATAAAAAATATTATTCGTACGATGGATTAAAATGATAAAAATGAAACAATAGAAAATCAGATATACTTATGAAGAATAATAAAATTGTTATTAAAGCGAAATTGAATCGATTTCGATGCAATTCAAAGCTAATTAATTATTCAATCTATCTCTTTTATACGGTATGCACCAAACAATTTATAATTAAATAATTCGAAACGAAATAAACAACGGATCATCACGGATCGAAAACCCGACAACTTAGTTAAAGCAAATTGTTTGTCTTCCTTCTCACGTTGCATCTGCGAATCTGGGGGGGATCGCTGTGTTTTCAACGTCAACAGTTGAAAAACGGAAAACACGAAGCTCCGTTATTCCGTTTCCGTTCTTCTCGAGGCAAAAACTTCCACCGATGCAACGGGGACGAGCAATGTTCTTACTTCTTTCGCAGTTTACCTGCTGTGATTGGACGTTAGGTGAAATTTATCGTTTATTTTACAACGAATAATCTTGGAAATAACGCTTGGTCGAGCATTGATTGCAATCTCTCGTCTTAAGCTTCTCAGCTATC